TATGCTTTAGTGTTCAAAGTTTCTAGCGCGACCTTGGGTAATAGTATAAGACAAATTTTGTGAAGATATCTCGTCAAATAAAACTGGTTTCCATACAAGAAATTTCGTGAATATATCTTGTTAAATAAAACATTTCCTTCTGTGTGTTACCAACTTCGTGGCAAACTTAATATATCCTGTTCCGGTAAACTAGTTTAAAAATGCTAAAAATATTTTTAACTAAATTAATATCCAAGAATATCTAACCGAATTGTATAACTTGAACTTAACAACGTGAAAACCTGAAATCACACCACTGTACATTTTCAACGTTTCGTTCCAAGCGAGGCTCATATCAGCGTGTAATTGTTGCTACTCGGCGTTTTCCGCCCTGTAACAACGAGTACTATGCTCTGAGATACTTGAAACGAAGAGAAATCTGAGGGATTCGGGCAGAAACCAACAAAATTATTGAAAACTTTCCGTGCATTTTGCGTTCGTCCCATACAATACCTTTCTATAGTATCTCATTGATTTCCTCCCACCCGCCATTATCAGCATTTTATTACATTTGCTTGCTTTTATTACGGCATATAATTGTTCTTATTGTTGTTGAATTTGTCGAGTGAGCGCGCGCGCTCGGACTCTCTTACTGCTGCGCGGCTGTCACTGCCGGAACTCAACAACAAGGCGGTCGATTAGCTTTCGGCAACGTACAGCCATAGCAACAGCAACAACATGTGATGAGTGTGTTGGAATGTGAATGAAAAGGCAGAGCGCAGGCTGCCTGCCCGTCGGCCGATCACGATGCGAGCGGCGGTCGGCGGTGAATGTGTTTGCTTGGCCGTTGGATGGCAGTGAAAGCTTAATCGCTCTGTACGCGTTGAAAATTTTCAGTCGAGCGCTGATACCGAACTAGGAAGGTCGGTCTAGGCAGAGATTCTCTACTCGTCTCGCGGGCTTCTTACACAACACTTAAGTGCAGAGCAAAAGAATAGAAATATTATATACTGTGTGGTGGTGCAAAATAGTTGGAAAAAGTTATATATATGTACATATAGTAAGGATATTGACAAGTTTTTGAAGTAAAATCAAGTAAAAACCGCTACGCTTAGGCGGAAACAATTCAACGATAGTATTCGGAAGAAGAAAATCAATTAACAAGAGTATAAAGTGCAAATTAAACGTTTAATTACATATACGTCCAAGCAAGGGAGAATTCCAAAACGCGTTAGGGGCTACTTAGTAACCCCCGGAAAAAATCAACTATAACATCGAATAGAAACAGGAAAAATTATTGTGTAATACCACCCCGAGTAGCTGCCGCAGCAGTCAGGTACCCAATCATAAAATCATCATATAGCATATAGAAAATTGTGCCACACCGTGCCTCTGCGTATGCTCACCCCAACGGCCACACCACTGAGGTCCCAAAGGTTCTGCAAATTTTTTCACTAAGTGGAATTCTGTGTAGCACCATTTGGGGCTCAACGAAAGACTTGGCTTGTGACGCAGACGTTGGCAAAGGCACAAGCCGCGGCAAAGGCGCAGCAGCGGTGACGCTGAAGTGCTGTAGAAAATGTCCTTGTTCGAAATCGATTTTTCTCAACACAACTTGCCCATAAACTCGACACACATTACGCATGAAAACTCGCATATGTGTGTGCGTGCTGCTTCGTGAAGTGTGTGCGTGTGTATTTGTGTGCCTAAGAACAAAGCTAAAAATGAAAAAAGAAACAAATTTATTTAAAAATAATAATATTTTTCACTACGAAAAATGCTGACTCGTTAAAAACTGAATAAATAAATATATTGATTGAGCGAAAAGTGTGCAGTTAACGGTTTAAGAAAAATTCAATCGATCGAAAAAGTGCGCAAGCAGAACGTACCTACATACAAGTATATATAGTGGTGTAAGAAAAGCGTGCTATGAACGAACCGACGAACTACATACATAGATAAATATGTATAAATGCGAACTGTTGAGGCGCTGGCGCATTCTTGGCGATATATTCCATACTTTACACAAATGTGTATATGTGTGTGTGTGTTTGTTATAGGAAGAAACTTGGTAAAGAAGGGCAAAGCACAATTGTACCATTTATGTGTATACGTAGGAGGGCATAGTCGTCGCGCACTCCAAAGCGCCGCCAAAGGAAACGACGACAGCGACGATTATGATGTTACTCATACGTCGTGTGGGTCGCCTTGCGCCGAGTTGGGCGTACAAGAGGGCGCGCTCGCTCGTCACCAGATGAGTTGCACAACAGTTTCGATTTTTCACAGCCAAAACCTTTTAGCTTAGTGCTCTATACTAAGAAATTAGCGGCCACCCAAAAAATGTTCAAATTATTTGATTTGGCTAAGCTTGAAAAAGAAAAATTATATTGTTTTCAGGTTTTCTCTTCATGAAAAGTATTTATTTTTGCAAAGCAATTTCTGTTATCGTTGGATTTGTTGCCTTGACTTCCGCACTTATGCTGCTTGTCATTGTCTGCAATATAATCAATCATTGTATGCGCTTATCTGGAGGCAAAATTGTGATTCATAATAATTTATGTTTGTCGAAAACTTCAAAAATAGCAGAAATGTACAATAGTAAAGGTTTATTGATAGATTTTAGATATCAATGGAGGTCAGTTAAAATTTATGTAATAGCGAAAATGAGTCTCATTCTCTCTGTGTGAAGCAAATTTTCCAGCCTTATCAAGAAAAATAACTTCATTGCAGTTGCTAACTGCAAATGACAAGAAAGTTATATACAAAGTTTCTGCTTTATTAAGCAATTAAACCGCTTTGGAATATTGAAAATCTATAAAGATTCATTTATTCTATTTTTTTGAAATATTTCACGATAGAAAATTTCAAAATACTGTTTCTTTAATTTTCAAAACAAAAATTTTTTTTTATTAAAACAAAATCGAGAATGATCGATATGCCGAGCTCCTTCAATTAATTTTCCTAAAAAATAGTTGATTTCGTTGGCTTCGAAAGCTTTCACCTGCTTTTAAAATATAAACATTTTCTTAAAATAAATTAAATTTTTTCGATATGCCGAGCTCTATCAATTGAAATTTCTCAAAAATATTTGCTTTTGCTGGCTTCAAAAGCTTTCGCTGCTTTTTAAGCTACTCTTCGCAAAAGCCAAAACTCAGCAGAGAGCGAATTTCTTTGCAGCAGCGCAGGAGTGACCACTCTCTGTGAAATGCTGGCACTTTTCGCATTTCCAATAATCATAGTCAACTTCTAGTTTTCCAATTTTGGAATTTCTGAAACAAACTACAACTCACTTCCAGTAATATATAGTATGTATGTAGTGGTTACGTCTAACTTACACAAGCACATGCGAAATTTCGATTTTGTTGCAACGAGTCCTTGCAAAACTTAAAAATTATGTTAACCGAAGCATGTTTAACACGTTGCGGAGTTCATTTTGCAAGTACGCATACATACACAAGTACTCATGTGTGTGTGTAGAAATTTGCATGCCTGCGATTGCATAATCCGCTTGACCCGCTTTTCACCGCAATACACACAAATATATACATATATGTAAAAGTCGTTATACTTGCGCCACTCGCTTTCTAAAGAATACATCAACGGTGTATTAAGAAGTATCCATTCATTTATTAAATTTTTAACTTTTTTTTCATTTTCTTTACTATCGACGACTTCACCGGTTTGATATTTATAGCTTTTTCACCTTAAATATTTTTTAACACTAACCGATCAACCGCAAGATGAGTGACGATCAGGTGGGTAAACGTGAAAAGAAGCTTCTGCTTTTGATTACTTTATTTTATATTTACAATTGCATAAACATTATTCGTTCAGTGCATACTTTTATTTTACTCATACATACTTTCATATGAATATGCACACTTTTGTATTTATAATATTCGCCGTCCGTTGTATTGTGTTGCAAAAGTATAATATTTTCATTATTTATTATCAGTTGGTCATGTAAATATTTACGCTTATGAAATATACTTGTAGTATGGGAGCCCGTATACCGTTGCTTTCTGTTGTTAAGCGCGCAGAAACAATGAAATAGAAATGAAAGTATAAAAATGATAGTATTAGAGATGACCACGACAGGTTCGCGTTAGGAAGGGCCAAATGAAATGAAACTTTCTAGTGAAATATAATGCACTTTAGTACCCTTACGGGGTAGGAATTTATAAAAATTAAATAATAAGTAACAATGGGGTTTTTCAATAAGAGTACGTATTTTAAATTTCTCATGGAACAATTTTATAATTCTTATTTATATTTTACAAAATATGAGTACATAACCTAAAATTTTCTAGTATAGCAAATTCGCTGAGATCTCGTTTAAGGCCCAAACTTCCGATACATATATGAGATATTTCATTCTCCAAACTAAGTACTAAGTACCAGATTAGATATTTTGAGATTTACAAATCTAAATATGTTCTTTAAAAATTATCTTTCTTCAATATTGGTGAAAAAAAATATCACAATAAAAAAGTATATACATACATATATTTGAAAATATATAAATAAATATATAAATAATAATAATAATAAATAGTATATTAATTATAAAACAAAAAAAAAAATAACTAAGTAAAATGGAAAAGAAAAATATTGACTAAACAAACTAAAGTAAACAAAATTAATATAAAACTTTTCTAAAATATTTATTATATTAAACAATGTTAAAAACTTTTACAAGAATTATGAAAAATTAAAACATTTAAGTAAAAATTAAAATAATAAAAATTTTACTAATTTTGAATTAAAACTATTAAAAGAAAAATAATTAAAATAATACTACCAGCAAAAATAAAATAATATTAGAACAAGTCAAAATAACATAATATTAAAAAAAAGAGATATATAAAATAAAAACGGAAAAAATATTAACTAACTAAACAAAAAATTATTTGTACAATAAAATAAATTTACAAAAAACAAAAAAAAACAATCTTGATAATCAAAAAATTTGTTAAATATTAAAAAGTAAAATTGTTCAAATTGCTACATTTTAGTTTTAAATTTTCACTGTTAACATGGAAATAGTGTTTTTCTCTAATAAGTTTCCAGAACATACATACTTATCTGTTAATACTTTAATCTATTTTTTTGCTTGAAGTGCTTTTACATTAAGCAAAATTTCATTGCAACTCCTCGCACACCCTATTTTTGGAATTTTGGAATATATATATTTACTACTCCGCAATTGCTGTACAATATTTTAATAACAGTCAGTCATACCATTTTCTTTTTATCACTTTGAATTTGTTTATTATGTGTTGTAGACACAAGTCATTTATTACTTTACAGCCGACCATATAAAAGGACTTAAGAATTTAGCTACAAAAGAGAAAAGTTAAATTGTACTTTATAAAGCTGCAATTGAATAATTGGCAGATCTACTTATATACTTAACCATAATTTCTAACATATTACGATTTATCAGTTTCACATTAGATAATTTGTCTAATTATTTATATAATATTTATTATATTTTTTAAACTCCATTTCCCTAACAATTTTTTACTTTTATAGCCATCGCTCCTTGAAATTTGAAATTCTAAAACTTTGTTCTTAAATTACGAGGTTCTCTATTGGTTGCTAATTTATTTACCCTCGAGAGTATATATTATATATATTTTGAAAAAAATGTGTGTGTTAACTCAAAGTATTTGATGTGGTTGCATAACGAAGGCTCGTAAATAATTTTAGTGGCTGCTAATATTAGTAGGAGAGCCACTCAGTTATTGAGTGGTTTACCACTAGTGGAAGGAGTGAAATTTATCTCACTTGTATCGTCAATTATTAATTTATTGCTTAACTACGTCGCATAATATTTCGATTACCTATTTCACTTTCTAAAAATTTTTGTTTTTTAATTTATAGTTATATAATAAAGGTAATGAAGTCTAAGTGAACAAAGACGTCAATAGTTTTGTGTTTCGGCATAAATGTCCTAGAATTTTGGTACTTACCAATACTTTAAAATATAACATTACGCAAATATACATAAATATCCGCCATATATTTTTATTGTACTTCAATTTTATAGTCCGTGTGTTGCTTAGTGCGTCTATTCGAAAACCTGTTAATCCACTCATAGGACTTGTTTATCTATATCTACTTACATCTGAATTAATTAATTTTATTTTTTAATTGTGTTTTTTCTAAGTGACTTCTCATTAAGATTCTTCGCTTTAAACACCAACGATTACCTGTAGATCATAACATCACTGCAATACTACTAATACAAACAGCACCAATTACTATGCAAATTAATGCGCTGCCGGCAAAAAAACCCTTTAATAATTAGTATATATTTGCAGTTACAATATTTATTTAGATAATTTTTAATGTCTTGGACATAGACATACATAAACACTGGATTGTTTTAAAGAAATAGCGCGAGAGCAGCGCTGAATTTGAACGGCCGATGTCGGCGCGTGCTTTTTCTCACAGTAAACCGAAAAAATCCGGTTTTTCAAAGCGGTTACTATTTACGAGCCAAGTGTTCGTAGTATTTCACATTTAGATAATTCACTTGTACTCCCTGCGATTCATTCTATAAAACGTATAGTATTTAGTTGCGAACATGGCATGTGTGTTTGGTAGATAGCAGCAGCGGCGTTTAGAGTTGTGCCGAACGTCTAAAGCTCTGTGCTTAGATTATTATTGGTTATTGATTTCGTTTTGTTTTGATCGCTGCATTTCGTACATTTTTTCAGAGCTATTTTGAGCTACGCAGGCACGTTCGCTAGACGTTTGGCACACGCATGCTTTGGTTTCGTACCGGTTCGAACCGGTTGCAGTTTTCGAAGCACAAGCTCGCTTTTTATCGGTTACTGCTTGATAAGTTTATTTATTGAATTAATTTCTATGCTTCTTGATTCTTTTACTTTTTATCCATGCTGTCGTGGGGTTTTCTCGTTTCCGATGACGCATGTAGTCTGTTATAGGCGCTGTTTTTTTTTTTTTGTGGTATTTGCAGACTTTGCGTACAAAATCTATTTTTATAAAAGCACATCGCTTCGTTTTAGTACAATTGTACGCGGTACGTTTGTTTTTCGGCGATTGTTTACAAACAAAATGTATATTTTAGTCAACAAAGGTGACGAAGAGCAAAGAAAAAAAGAACATATTAAATAAAGTCGCACGAGTATGACGTTGCGGCCTGGCAACGGTCGAGAAACGAATTATGGTACGAGTACTTTGACCAATTTTTGCGTACTTCTTTTTGTTGTACTTTATTTTTCGCTACATTTAACTTTTGTGCAAATTTTGACGTGCTTGTTATTTTGGCTTTGTTTTTTGTTTTTGTACTTATTTTTGCACGTTTGGGTATGCGTAGAACTTGTAGTACCAAAACAACATGAAATCACGTTCTGTTTTGTGACGAAATTGGAACATCTACGCTTGTTTGTTTTGATTTTAAGCAATAACATTTTCAGAATTCCTTCTCCTTCGGTTACATAAAGTGAAATATGTATGTTTTTAGCTGTGTACTACCTTTTTAATAATCCATTTATGTACGTCACATTCAAATTTTGTTGTTTTTGTTATATGTGAAATATATTTTTATATTTCTGACTTTGGCGTCACTATTTATTCGTTACGTTTGTCGCCATTGATCTTCAGTCACAAGCGTTTTCGCACAACATTCGGGTTGTTTTGCTATATTTATAGATATCTTCGTGTATGTAATATATTGTTTGCCGCACCATCGTTTGGCTGCAAATTTATTTCAATTTCATTTCACAATGTGTAGCCATGCAGTTCTATTAGTATAGAGCGTTGAGCAATCACAAATTTATGCACAATTTAATGGACAGGTACTAAATTTGCATTGACGTTATGAATTGAATGCACATATTTACATACATATGTTACATATATTGTCAATACGTACATATGTAAATTAAAATAACTCATATGAAGTTGTGCAAATCAAAAAATAAGGAGATAAGAAAATTACAACAAAAAATATATATACATATTATGAAAGTTATTAATAAACTAAAATGAACCAAAGAGTAACAACAATTTTTGTATATTATAATGATAAATATAAAAAATATCTTAACTATTTATAAATTATAAAAAATAAATAATATATACAAAAAATGTATTTTACATATAATATAAATACGTATTTACCATATAAATTACTTATAAATTACAAAAACAAAATATAAATTTAAAAAAAAAACATAACATACAAAAAATTTTTTTTTAAAAGAATGATGAAAAGATTTGAATAAGCATTTTTCTTTTCTTTGAGCGATCTTAAATTTATCAAATTAGGTAAAATTTAAGTGAATATAAGATTAAATTAAAAAATAAGTTTAATGTCTAGAGCTATTTCAAACAACCTACGCTGACATTTATTCTATATACTATTCGTTTGATACAAATATCGGATTATTGATTTTTTTGTCTGAATGTGTGGTGGCAACCCCGTTCAAAAAGAACTGTAACTACTGGCGGCCTATGCACAATATCTTCATCTATTAAACATAATTGTATAAACATCTTTTAATAAATTGTTTGCCTTGTTTGTAAAACTGTAAGCATTTAAGATCTCTTCAGTTTTATACCCATATTATACTCTGTAAAAAATTTGTTTTAAAACCTCAAGTATTAACTCTAAAAATTGTATAAAACAACTCAGCTTCATCTATCGTTGCGCTTTATAAACTGCGAGCGTGACGGAATTTTGTCGCGCAACACACTTTTGTTGCAGTAGTACCTAAAGAAGTTACTAAAGAGAACATTTGAGTCTTTAGCAAAAACCTGTCAAACTCACTAAATATACATGTCAAAGCTCTCTTAAAGCGAGAGCATTTAGTGACTACCTTCGTAAGAGGAAGCTACAAGTCCGTTCAAGGCTGCCTATAGCGCACTCGAACCCCTATTCTTTTCCCAAAATCATTGAATTAATAAATTAAACACACTGTAAGTGTGTTTATATGTACATCAGTACATACATGTGAATAAGCTTATTTATGTATTATGTGTTTGTGTGTGTGTGTGTATTTTGCACATGCCGAAAACGTGATTGCTGCCTACAAAAGTTGGATGCCACTGGAAAGCAAATCAAACAGCTGCTTATTCTTGTCATTGTTGTTGTTTTAACCTTACTTATTGTTCTTTAGTTCCATTGTAATTTGAAAAAAAAAAAAAACGGAAAAGGGGTGCGGCAGCACAATACAAAAAAACTTTCAAAGGCAACCAATTAGTGCAACGTGATTTGAGCGCGAAATTATCGAAATTTTTTAACTTTATGAGCATTTGAAAATATTCGTAAATTTTGTATTTTTTTTATTCACTGCAATCTAAAGCAATTGACAGTTTGCAGAGCTAAACTTTTATCGTGATTCTTAAATCATTCTTTGCGGTTGGCGCATATATATATGTATATTTAACGGTATAAAACCACATTATGTCAGTACGTGTGTGTGTGTGTGTGTATTTACTGACGTAAATTGATATTCAAGTTCAATATTTTCCATAGTTTATTATTTTATATACACCACTTATATGCAGCGCATCGCTTTTCACAATAATTTCTATTGTCAATAAAGAAAAAATAAACATTTTTAATATACTAGAGCCTTATGCCGTTTATTATGTCACCATGTTGAGTGCACTAATGGGTGCACCGTCCCTGGTGGTCTGTCTGGTTCGTGTTGGCGTGAAAATCTACCAATGAAATACAATTTACACTTTGTAACATTTTTAAGCCACTGTTAAGTGTAAATTTTTAAAAATAAAACGATTTTTTGGGGAGCCATTATTTTTGTCAAACTCAAAACTTTGATCAGTCCTTCGGATCTCCTTCCTACCTGTATTCGTCTATAGTAATAATATTTTTTTTGTTTATGGTTTCGAGATAATTTTAAGTAGAAACAATTTTCTCACCGCCAGACATCTTTTTTTCGAAGATCCTACTGGAGATCAACTGTGATCAATGTAATCCAAATTTTTCAAAATTAATCGCCGCTTTTTAAATTACATTAAATTTATAAATGTATATTATTTTTTATTCAATTACTAAATAAAAAGACTTCAAAAAACAAATCAGAACCGTTGAAGGAAGCACTCAGTACACTGAACGTGTTCTCCAGTAAAGTTTTTCTAAAAAACGTGCTTATTGCTTCAGATATTTGTAAATTTGAAATTTGTTTCCAACTTGCATACGCATATCACCAATAAGCGTGTGTGTGCCTCTATTATTGCTATTCAACACATTGTTGTTGCCCATTTTATTATCACTAGAGCACATTAGTGACAGCTTGCAGTTTTTTCTTTGTCTGTTCTGTTTGGTCACAAGTTAATTTAATAGGTGCACACAAGTAATCGTTTAACTCAGTGCTGGCATTGAACGCTGGTCGCATGACGGCATTTTGATTAGCCCACGGATCTTTTTATATCAAAACAGTGAATTATTTTTTATGAAGCAACGAAATTTTAATTTCCTCAAAGCCTTTTTGTTACCGTTCATTTGCATATTTCAGTGTTTTTCGAAATTTGTTGGTATATTTTAAGGGAAACGTGTTTTTTTTTTCAAATTGGATGAAATGATGTTTTTGAGAAGTCAAATAATTAAAAATTCCGTTCTCTGAAACTCTAACTGCTTAAAAAGTGAAGAGAAATTTTACAAAAATATAAATTTGTAAAACACATGTTAACAATTGAAATATAAAATTTATAAATTTTCTTATAATAGTAAAAAATTGATTGTATTAGAATTGTAATAAGTATTTATATTTTATTAAAACTACATATATTTTATTAATAAGTATGTATTTGGTTAGCTGAAAAATAATTCAAATTCCCTGCCTAACATAGTCATTAAAAAATCCCTTTATGAACCACTTCACTGCTTAGTCGGCTTGAGCTCTGCACCTCGGACAATAAATTCACATATGAAGTAATAAAAAAGTTATGGTGAATTCCAACTAAAAGAGTATCAGATTACTTCGGCATTATACATGTAGTTGCAAATATATTTCATTTATACCAGTTGTTTGTTCGATTCGTCACTCTTCGAAAACAATAAGAATGTAATACTGATTATTTGGCGTGGTCATAGGAAGCAGCAATAGATATATGTATGTATGAATAATGCAATAGAAGAGAGTATATAAATACCTCATTAATCTGGTATAGCTGCTTTTATCTTTATTTAATTATTCCAATCTGTTTTGTTTCGTAAACCGAAGAAATCTCTTGAAGATTGAATTTTCAGCTAACACTCACTAACAATCTACTTTCGATCAGTTGATTAAGTTTAGTTTTTATTAAGATGAGGGAATGTGAAATATGCAGATTTCTGCTTTGTAAATGCATAACCAGGCTGCTTAAAAGAAATCAAAAATTGTCAGAATTGGCTCCCTTTCTAACAAAATCTATGACCAGACAATGAGAGTCCTGATATCATATTTCTCATCATTTGGACTGATCGTCAATTACTAGTACTACCTAAATATAATATTTCTCAAATTCATTCAAATCATGCTGATCAGAGAATGATTCTGGTCAAGTTAGATTATTTGTAAAATCATCTAGCCTAGTACTTGGATTTTACTGTTATAGTAGCCAATTTCTAATCCTGAAATATCTTGAATCGATATGCGGTATTTGATGGTAGATTATTTACACAGTTGATTGTAAATGACAACAGGACGGGTTTATTAGAAAAAATTTATTGAACATATTTAATCAATAAGTCCCTTCTCTATTTCTTATTAAGTTAGCCTAATTTAATTAAGTAATTAATGATTTTACTTTCAATTTATACGTAAATTTCTCTCTTTCTCTCTCTTTCACTAATTCTACTGCACTCATTTATTGTTGGAAAACGAATAAATCTTGCACTCAAAATCCGTTAATTATTTTACTCCAATTGCAACACTGCAAGTAGGTGCTCTAAAATAGGCCATAAACAAAATCCATATATACAAGTATCGTGTGGCTTGCGAACGTTTTTTATAAGCGTACAACGCTTCGACGTGCAACAACTCGTGTATTTTATACCGGCTAAGCCTTAAGCCAAAATAAAAACGACAACGAATATAGTATATTTTAGACGCAAAACAAAAATAACAAAAAGCACAACAAAGAAGTCAAGACCAAACGAAATCAAGAAACCGAAACGACTACGCATTGCCAATTTTCGGTGAGGTGTTTGAACTTTTTGGTGTGAACGCGCGACCGGTGTTTATCGCGCCAAATAAAATAACAAATAGACGACGAAAAAGACACGAAAAGTGAAAATCAGCCAACAACAACAAGCAAATAGAAAGTGCGTAAGAAAAAATGTTGACAACAACAAACTCAAAAAATAAATAAAAATAAAAATATTAACTAAAACTAAAATAAATAATAAAAATAAACAAAAGATAATACAAATAAAAATAAAAAAGAATAAAAAAAATATAAAAAAAAACAAAAAAAAATTATACAAATAAAAATAAAAAATAATAAAAATAAATATAAAAAATAATAACAAAAAAATAATAATAAAAAAATTAAAGAAAAATAAACAAGCGATAAAACCAAAATGAAAATAATTCTCGGCATTATTTCACTGTATTTTTCTGAGTTGTGATTGACAAACATTTTAAATGCCAAGTGACAGTTGCAATAAAATATGTGATTATTTGAAGAGGGCAAATGTGAATGCCAAACTAACGATTTTTTGCTTTTAAGAAAAAGTCGCAAAAGTTGAGCACTTTATAGATGCAGAGTAGTCAAAAATAAATATTATGGAATTACTTGCTAAATCGTCTGCACGCAAAACATTTCTTAGAAAAATTACCTTTTTACCAATTCTGCTGAAATCAGCATTTTTTCTCCCGTCACAAAAAAATCTCAATTTTCTTCTCACATTCGAAGTAATGATCAATATTTTTATATGTGAAAAAAATATTCTCATTGAGCACTTATTTGCATATTCGCTTTATTTTTAAAAATCAAAAGAAGTATATTTCTTTTTTTGTTTTGAAAATTGAATGTACAAAAAAAAAAGAAATTAAAATAGTAAAAATACAAGAGTTTGCCAATTTTTCGTTTACACCTGCTCATTTCCTATATATATATATATATATATATATACATATATATTATATATACATATATATATATATATGTATATATGTATATATTGTATGTTTGTATACTTACACATACATACATATGCAGACAATTTATTTAACGAAGCACCGCCAGAGTGCTATAATTTCAATATTTTTGAAACTAATTGAAACAATTTATCGTTGAAAATCTATTCGAAATTATTATTATATTCGAATAATTTTCGTACGCTTTTTACTCATACGAGTATAAATTATAAATTAAATACTCACGTGCGTAATTTTATTAAAATTCAGTTATTGGAAACTTTAAATTGTTGATTTCGCAGAGATTTCACGGCAATTTCTGCTTATGAAAATAATATTATTTGAGAAAATGAATAAAAATTCTTAAAATTGTTGATGTTTTTGTTGTTATTGTTTATACAATTTTTTTTTATTTGCTTGCCTGAATTTTTGAATCAGTGTTGTAACACTTTATGCTGTTGTTCTATCTTATTTTATTTATGATAGCTGTTTGAACTAGTTTCGATTAATTTTTATTGTTTTGTTGTACTTTATTAACACTTATATTTCTCGTAATTTACTTTTAGTTACATAATCATACGTTTAAATAAAACAAATTTTTTTTTTGCTGACTTTCGCAATTAATTGAAAATTATTCACCAAACGTACTTCGTAGTTTCCAAATGTAAAATGCGTTGAAGTTCTAAAAAGCAACAAACGGTTTTTGTGTATTCGCAAAATTTTATAAAAAAGTTTCAGACATTTTATCAATAATTCCTCTACAAAATTTCATTTATTATTCGTACAAAGCGCACTTATATGGGCATATTACTTCCGTGATTTATTTGTTTATATTGTGAAAAAATTTATGTGCCATATTGATTCTTTAAAGAAAACCAAATAATCAGATATGAATATATTATTTAGCTCAATAGTCAATGAAAATAAGAAGAAGCAAAAATCTATATGTTGAGAATTGTTCTGGCAGCCATCTCCGTCGTCAAGTGCATGTAATTTCGCAATTTCAAATATATGTTTGTTTTATTTTTAAATAATTTATCTATAAATAGGTCTATAACAACACGCTAGCATACTGTATAAGTGTTAGTCCGCCAAATGTTGGCCTAAATTGCTTAGTAACAGACACGCGATTCTAAAATAGGTTCTGTATGTTTGGCCAAGACCCATTCCAATGGCACAATTCCAGTGTAAATTGACGCTATATTCATTTATACATTTATATATATATTTTATGTATATATATATATATATATATATGTACTTGATAGACATTTTCCAGTGTTATTGATTGTGGACTTTAGATTTACTCAAAAGTTCTACTGAATTATAGCTAGTATTGGTATATAGTATATATATGAAATGCTAGTGAGGTGTGCTTTTAGGCGTTTACTTAGTACTTAGCTAAAAGAGTAAGGGCTAAAACTAGGTTGACCTAGTTCGTTGGTAAATATATTTAAGCGATTGTTTAGGCGTACGCCTTCAGTAGTTTGTTGCGTTAGAAAAAGAGCATAAAATATTTGTATTGATTTTTGTGGCATACATTTAGGCGCTTCAACTATTTTCTACTTATTATGGCATTTACATACGTTACTACCTTTTCCAACTTAAGTTTATACATATGTGCATATATTTAAAATTAGATTTTTATAAATTATTATTCTACTATATTATATAATAATAAAATTTAATGCTATTGCATGATAATTTATTCCGACTGTCCATATATACATAAATACATATTACATATATTTAATTTAGTACATATCATATGCGTTTATCGCTGCTGTTAAAATTAGTTTTCATCACATTTTTTACAATTTTCTTTCTCAATTTTTCTCTTATTTTCCCCTTTCATCATCTCGTATCATGCCTGCTTTACGTTACGTTCTATTGCGTATTTTTACATTGTTCCGTTATTGTGCTCGTTCAATCCAACGCTAAATGTGTTCCCGTTATTGTTGTCCATAATTGTATTTGTTAAACGCTCAATTGTTGATCCGATTCTATAGCATGGGAGAGCGGACTCTTATCGTATCGCCACGGTTATACCAACCGATGACGACAATCGTACAGCCGATGGTCACTTAAAGGTAAATATATACATAAATACACAAGAAAATACTGTACACTTGTCATATTACAAAAACTTGTTATAACAAAAACGTCATACATATATATAAACGCACACACTCATATTTGTTTCCGCTAATAAATACGCCACATGCAGACTTATATACTTACTTACCTACCTACATAGGTACATATGTAAAATGTAGCATAAATATCAAGTTCACAGTATTCATTATCTTTTTTCATTTAAAAAAAATCAATTTATTTACTCAAACTAACATAATTAGACATAAAAATATATGGTTTACTTGGTAAATAGGAAGCATATCTATATCAAGCGGTACAACCAATAAATATACATATGGTTGTTGGAAATATATAGAAATAAGCTCCAAAATACAGAAAATATTGAAACTGTTCAAATATACATATAATATAATAAAATTGTGTCCTAAAATATTTTTCAAAATTTTGTAATATTAAATCATTTACTTATTTTAAGTCTTGAGTTAAACACTATAAAAAATAATTACAATAAAAGCTTTTACATAAAAGTATACACTTCTGCCACATCTTAGATTTTTTATTTTATTATCTATGTGGTTGCCAGCTCAGCTCATTTCTAATACATTTTATGTATTTACATGCTCTCGTACCCACTTAAAATTGTTTATTATATATTTGAATGTTTTATTTTTAAATATTATTAATTCTTGCAGACAGTTTTTGCTTGCGATTTCTTTGAAACGTTTTCGTTTTCTTTCTTGCCTTTTATTTTGTCTTTTAATTACATATATGCTTGTACAATATATAGAACTATATTACCTATTTATAATGTATTATTAGACATTTTTCTTTTACTTGTTCATTATTTGCATAATTTTTGGGAAATTTTTAATATAATATTAAAAAACACAGTATCGAAATTAGTACTTAAAGAATTTATGAATATAAATGTGTATATATAATTTCATTAAAAACGGCAACTACGCCAAAAAAATTTTAAAAATATTTGCAAAAAAGGATCTGTGTTTTAAGAGAATTAAAGTCAAATTAGCTAGAACTCTACTTAAACACATTACGGTCGCTAAAATGTAGGCAACAATTGTTTGCTGCTGTTTAGCGCATATAAGTTACATAAAGCGTGTTGGAAAAGTAACAAATAAATATATGAACCTTTATTTAGAGTTTATTTTGCAAATAACACTGACTAACCAACAAAATATTGTGTGTAAAATACATCAAAATTTGCTAATTGCACAGTTATATAAAAAAAATGTCTCTGAATAACTCATTATTTTTACTGCAGTATTTTCTGTTTTCATTCATTTATTTTTATTGCACTAAGTCTAAAAATAATTATGGTATTGCGTCTCGTCTCGTCTGAGAGTTTATATGCAAAGTTTCATGTCAGTCTGCGACACAGTCAAAGGCAGCGAGCGTACATGTAGGCGTTGAGCATCATTATTGCTGTATTGAACGACCGGCTGGCTGTTGCCTGATTGACTGACGTGTGCACTTCCGAGGTCATAAGTAATGAAAACAGCAGCCAAAAATTGTTTTTAAGCGGGGTGGTAAAAAGACAATTATAAAAAGTAGAAGAAGAAAAAATTTTGGGAAATAATTAGAATTAAAATAAATATTTGTTTTTTGTATTATATTTAGCTCCGTACCACATAATCAACTTTTAGAATAATAATTATTAGGTAAATTTTGTTTTGTTTCGAATGCTTGTACTTTTAAGCCAGAAACTGATTAAATTCTAGCAATACCTCTCAAGGAACTGTGGTTCTTAGAAATATATTTAGTAAATTTTATTATTAATTGCGCCGAAAAGATATTATGAAAACCTAAGTTTTAAATGATGGTTGATTAAAAATAGTATAAGCTTTATTTTATATAAAAAATTTAATTATTTATTTATTATAAAATTCAGTTTGTTAAAAATTTGAATGTTCAATATGGGAATTAATAGCATTTTGTTTCTTGTGTTTATTTTTTAATCTCGTTAATTTTAATTTTTGTTTGTTTAATAAATGCTGTAATAATTTCTTTCCTAGCCTAGTCCTTTTAATAATAAGTTATTTACCATATTTTAATATATGTATACATTGTTTTAAATGTAACTTTATTAGTTATAATTTTTTTAGAATACTTTTTTTTGCAATACAAATAAAAATAATTATATACACATAGTTTATGTTCAAATGAAAAATTGTTATATGTTTATTGCTATTTTTGTGTTTTATTTTTATTAATTTTTTTTTTTTTAACAATATACAACTATAATAATACGTTATTTTCTTCAAAAAGTTTTGATATTTTTACTATTAGTTTCTATAGATTCTAGTTTCTATGGATTCTATTCCACTATTCATACATAACTGTTTCTAATTAATACACTTAACCTCACTTTATCAATGTTCTAACAATGTTTGAGCGGTTTTACTTTGTTAATTAAATGTTGTTTGTACAGATGCATGTGTATGTGCGGTAAGTAAGGTGGAGTAGCTTTCTGAAATATTAAATAATTGCTTTCTCTAAATTTCTATTTACATTCATCTAGTATACACGTATATTTAAATAGTAGTTAATCCGCTATTATCTCGACATGTAATTAACAGTAGCTAATATTTCCTTTGGGTAATGATTTACCAATGACAAACGAAAATCTATTTATCAGACAAGCAACGCTGCCTATTTTTTAACAAAAATACTGATTAGCAGCGGCGACATTAAATATCTGCTTAAGAAACCTTAACTACTAATCCAATTTGATATGATGCATATGTATACTTAGTGTACGTTGCCTATAAAGTGCTCGACGAAGGGCAAATATACAAATACACACAAACATTTGGTGCTATGTTAAGAAGTAATTAACAAACTAAGTGACATGAAGTTAGAAAAAAAACTTAAACTTTTTCTTGGGCATTTTCTACATCGCAATCTAACGGTGTTGGCAAATAAAGAGCGTTTTTGAAGTCGCTGTATGCATTTCAAAAACGCTTTCTTAATTCATGCATTCTCATACATTTATTAACATATTAATTCAATGATCTCTTTTTCCATATGCAGTCTAAACGCAGGATGCCACCAAAACCGGCTAAAAAGGAGAATCTTGAGGATCTCAAACAGGAGTTAGATATCGATTTTCATAAAGTCACTCCTGAAGAACTGTACCAACGCTTTCAGACGCATCCAGAGAATGTAAGTAACGACTTATAAACACGCTACCTATAGATATTCATTATTAAATATTATTTGTATTAATGACAGGGTCTGAGTCATGCCAAAGCCAAGGAGAATCTTGAACGAGATGGCCCCAATGCGCTTACACCACCTAAACAAACACCCGAATGGGTGAAATTCTGTAAGAATTTGTTCGGCGGTTTCGCCATGTTGCTGTGGATCGGTGCTATACTTTGCTTCGTTGCCTACTCCATTCTGGCCAGTACAAGCGAAGAGCCCTCAGACGATAACTTGTATCTGGGTATCGTACTTTCGGCTGTAGTCATAGTTACCGGTATTTTCTCATACTATCAGGTGGGTAATACTGGCTAATACAAATGCATAACTTTATCAAATATTTTACTAAACATTTTTACGTTGCGTGCAGGAATCGAAAAGTTCAAAGATCATGGAATCGTTCAAAAACATGGTGCCCCAATTCGCTACTGTTATTCGTGAAGGTGAGAAGCTTACCTTACGCGCTGAAGACTTGGTGTTGGGTGATGTGGTTGAAGTGAAGTTCGGTGATCGTATACCTGCTGATATACGTATCATTGAGGCGCGCACCTTCAAAGTGGACAACTCATCGTTGACTGGTGAATCTGAGCCACAGTCACGTGGACCTGAATTCACACACGAAAATCCATTGGAAACTAAGAACTTGGCTTTCTTTTCTACCAACGCCGTCGAGGGTACTGCCAAGGGTGTTGTCATCAGTTGTGGTGATCATACTGTAATGGGTCGTATTGCTGGTTTGGCTTCGGGTTTGGATACTGGCGAGACACCAATCGCAAAGGAAATTCATCATTTCATTCACTTGATTACTGGTGTCGCCGTATTCTTGGGCGTGACATTCTTCGTTATCGCTTTCATCCTAGGTTACCATTGGTTGGATGCTGTTATCTTCTTGATTGGTATTATTGTAGCGAACGTGCCAGAAGGTCTGCTGGCCACTGTAACTGTATGTCTGACATTGACTGCCAAGCGTATGGCTTCAAAGAATTGTTTGGTAAAGAATTTGGAAGCTGTGGAAACATTGGGATCCACCTCGACCATTTGCTCCGATAAGACCGGCACCCTCACCCAAAATCGTATGACCGTCGCTCACATGTGGTTTGACAATCAAATCATCGAGGCCGATACAACTGAAGATCAGTCGGGTGTGCAATACGATAGAACCAGCCCTGGCTTCAAGGCGCTCTCTCGCATTGCTACCCTCTGTAATCGTGCCGAATTCAAAGGCGGTCAAGAAGGTGTACCAATTTTGAAGAAGGAAGTCAGCGGTGATGCCTCCGAAGCGGCGCTGCTTAAATGCATGGAATTGGCGCTGGGCGATGTTATGAATATTCGCAAACGTAACCGCAAAATCGCTGAAATTCCATTCAATTCGACTAACAAATATCAAGTGTCCATTCATGAAACTGAAGATCCCAGTGATCCACGCTATTTGCTTGTCATGAAGGGTGCACCCGAACGTATATTGGAGCGTTGCTCGACCATTTTCATTAACGGCAAAGAAAAGGTATTGGACGAAGAGATGAAGGAAGCTTTCAATAATGCCTATATGGAACTTGGTGGTTTGGGTGAGCGTGTGCTCGGTTTCTGCGACTTTATGCTGCCCTCTGATAAATACCCAACTGGCTTTAAATTCAACACTGATGATGTTAATTTCCCCATCGATAATTTGCGTTTCGTCGGCTTAATGTCCATGATTGATCCACCACGTGCTGCTGTACCCGATGCCGTCGCCAAGTGCCGTTCAGCCGGTATTAAGGTTATTATGGTTACTGGTGATCATCCAATCACAGCTAAGGCTATTGCCAAATCGGTGGGTATCATTTCGGAGGGTAATGAAACTGTTGAGGATATCGCACAGCGCTTGAACATCCCTGTCTCGGAAGTTAACCCACGTGAGGCCAAGGCAGCTGTTGTGCATGGTGCTGAATTACGTGATGTTACACCCGAACAGTTGGATGATATTCTGCGCTATCACACTGAGATCGTGTTCGCACGTACCTCGCCTCAACAGAAACTGATTATTGTAGAAGGTTGCCAACGTATGGGCGCTATTGTGGCTGTGACCGGTGATGGTGTTAACGATTCACCAGCGTTAAAGAAAGCCGATATCGGTGTTGCTATGGGTATTGCCGGCTCTGATGTATCTAAGCAGGTGAGTGATGTGCACAAGGGTAGGCGCAATGGTGTAGTGATAATGCAAAATGAACAATTTTTTTATTTCAAACTCGAGTGTGACTTAATATTGTGTGTCATTTCTTTTTGTGCAGGCTGCTGACATGATTTTGCTTGATGACAACTTCGCTTCGATTGTGACAGGTGTGGAAGAAGGTCGCTTGATTTTCGATAACTTGAAAAAATCCATTGCCTACACACTCACCTCCAACATTCCCGAAATCTCACCATTCTTGGCATTCATCCTATGCGACATACCACTGCCACTGGGTACCGTTACCATTTTGTGCATCGATTTGGGAACCGACATGGTAAGTGTGACACTGTTCGAGTAACAAACTTATATAGTACTTTTTGTGGTTGTGCGAAAAAACTGTATTGTTTTCCAATTGAGTTAATTTAGTTAAGTTTTATTTTTTTATAATTTAAATCAATTTATTTTGGAACAATAATTTTAAATTTATTTCGTATAAAATTAAAGAACATAAATATTAAATGAAAGGTATATCTAAGTCAGAAAAATACACATATAAATAAGTAAAAGTTTAACAAAATAGAGTTAGTTAGGTTAAATTTAGCATAATTACAACAAAACATGTGATAATATTTTAAATATAAACCTCATAAATATATATGTATACACGAAAACACAAATGGCGAACATAACCGAATGCATAGGTGCCTGCGATATCACTCGCTTACGAAGAAGCCGAATCGGACATAATGAAACGACGCCCACGCAGTCCGCTCTTCGATAAATTAGTCAATGAAAGGTAAACGAAGGATTCATTTTCAAAATAATTAAACAAAAACGCTTCAGACGTATAGTTATATGTAACTACATAAACGTGCTGCAACAACTAGGGCTTGAATCATGGTGAAAGCTGGTACATTTCCGTTATTGCTAAAAATATATACAAACATATTATATATTAATTCTCCTCCGATCGCAAAATGTGTTGCTACATGACTGCTATTACTTTCCACTTCTACATACATATCTACATGTGTACGCTAAATGCCTCAACAATGCAGGCAACAAAGCTATTGCTAGAAAAATGATACCCTCTTTTATTATTGTTACATTGCTGCTTTAAGTATAAGCTGGAGAGGTGCTATAATACCATAAGATAAGCTTAAATCCGTATTTGACGTTAGATTTAATATGTACGCTTCAAAATATTTTATAAAATATATTTAAAATAAGAATGGATATGTTAAATGTGAATCAAACTATACGGAATTTTCGACGAAAAAATTTTATGCGCAGCGAAATTGTAAACTAAACGAATGCCAATGCCGGTAATGGACGCAAAATGGGGAAACCCTGCATATATATATGAAACTCAACATAATTTGCATAGCTTAAGCCACTAAATATCGGAACGGTGCTATCTATGAACCCGCTAAACTCTTTAAATGTGTATATCTTGTGTTTACTTTTTATATAAACGTAATATTTATTCATAAATGTAATAAAATGTGTATAGGTTATGTGGCTTTAAATATAAGTTTATGTTACCGTTAGCTCTTAAGTGTTAATAATCCGAATATTGACAAAAAAAAACTCACCTGTTACTAATTTAAAAAAAATATATATATATAATAGTTTTAAGTGTCACTTTCAATGTAATTAGGTTAAGAATCGTTTAGGCTCATCAGTTTAGTTATAAGTTGATTTATCTATTCACTTATCTCTCTCTCTCTCTTTACGCGCTACGAATTTCGTTTATCAGTAGTACTCGCTACATGTACACGTTTAACTTTTAAGTTCTAACCATTTATAAATGTTGTGCTAATGTTCAATGAAATTATTTGTGGGATGTTTAAAATTTTAGCAAATTTTGTAATTAAAATCAACTTTAGTTTGGACCACATTCACAAAGAAATAATCTGCGGAGTTTGTTCCGAAACATCGTATAGCATATTTTCATGCACTAATTGAAGTATTTTGCTTCCGAAAAGTCTAAAAAGCCAAGCTTTTGCTTTTTTATATTTTCGGAGTTTACTCCGAAACCGTAATTGGCAAAACTTGTCTCTAAAGCTAAAGATAACACTATGATAATCAATCATACCTATATTCCTGAAATGTCTTTCAAGCATTGTTTTTATATTTCGGAATTTACTCCGAAGCTGGAATTGACAAGTTTTTTTCCGAAAACGAAAGATAACACTGTGATAATCATACCTCTACTCAGGGAATGTTATATTATTTATAGTTTTAAAGCTATTATATATCAATGACCTACTCCGCTTTCACCGCTTTGATTTCATTGAACGTTAGTTTTTTGAGTTCGGCCGTCGCCGATGGTTAAACCAAATATGTTTTTAACATTAATTTTTTTTATCTCTATCATACATGTAATCGTACAAATGTGTAAATCTTTTATTTACATTCCTTATTGTCAGCGTTAAATATTACCTACAAACATACAACGTATTTAAACAACTTTTTTGTTCATATATTATTGAAATATAATAACTAGGTGCCTGCCATTTCCTTGGCTTATGAAGCTGCTGAGGCCGATATTATGAAGCGTCCACCACGTGATCCATTCAACGATAAATTAGTCAATTCAAGGTGCCAAAATTTTGCAAAAACAACAAGTGTTTTGCATTTTCTATACAATATTAATATGTATAAGACAGCGGTTTTCAATCTAAAAAAATTGGTTTAAACTACGATTTTTTTTTGTAATACAAATAATTATCAGACTTTTAGTTCCTAGTGTACGTTCCTACAATAATATAATGTAACGACGTTTCGTGTAAACCTCATACATAATAACTTTAATGTTGAAATTCTTCTATTTTACTCACAAATTTACAGATTGAAAACCGCTATTTCCTTTGCTTTGCAAGCAAATCCTAAAATTAATAATGAAAGTGGTTCCCCCAATAATTACTAACGTGCTCGATTAATAGTGCCTGTTGTTCTAATTAACTTTTTTATTTATTTTTTTGCTTTTGTTTTTAATCTTTTTGGTTTAAAATATAACTCCACCATAACAAGTATGGCTGGTTTGAGAATATGAATTCATATTTAACTTTTCATTTTGAATATTTTAATTTAGCAGTTGTTAGTTTTTCGTTTAATATAATTCATACTTATAAATGTTTTCTTCATATTGTTCAAACTCACCCTCACCATATGGTGTAAAGCGAATATTAACCTAACATTCAACAATTGTTGTTGTCACTAATTGTAAGCAATTTTTTTGTTGTAATTATATGAGTCCAATCAAACAAAATCATCATTTTGCGGCAGCATATCATTATAATCATCATCATCATCGTCTAAAGCAGTTAATCAAGACCATCAATGACAACTATAACATTTACTAAGTGTCTACGTGTTGTTTTTTGTCACAATTCTTAAGTTTAACCTCAGTAAACACATACTTAAATGTACAAGTCCACAATGGCGTATTTTTTTAATTCATTAATATACATATGTTTCTCATTTAAATATTTTATATATTTAATATTTATATTTATTATGATTTTATGTTTTATGATACATATTGACTAAAATTTATTTTTATTTTATTTATTTTTTTTATGAATTTAATCGTTTGTACGCCCTTCATTTTTCCAATGTAACAATAAATATATATATACTGTAAAAATAGTAAGGTTTTAAACAACAAAATTATGTATAAATATGAGTTCCTTGCCAAAAAGTCTATTACGAAAATCTAAATAACCTAATTATCGCAAATCAATTAGGCAAATTGTATTTGTATCCACGACTGCTGTTGTATTTTCAGTTTTAATTGAAAGGATTAAGAAGATTTTTTCAGAACTCGGTAGCATTCTCTAAACATATTTAGGAAATGTTTTCTACCGCTACAACAACATACAAAATTTAATAAGAAAAACCAAGAACTTTTGGAAAATGCTATAAATTGACAGTTCTTGTGAAAATGTCCTGAAAACAAACAAAATATTCAGAAACGTTAGAAGACACGCAATTGCTTTGAAAAACGCTTCAAAACTCTTTAGAACGCGAAACTGTAATTGATAAGTTTTTTCTCTAACACTATGATAATCATACCTACATATATTCTTAAAATCTCTTTCTCAAAATCTAATATTTTTAAAATTATTCAAAATTTTATTTAGATGAAGTAAGATAATTCGTCTTTTGATAAGCCCTCTGAAAATTGTATATTGAAGAGCAAATAACTTTCAGTGAATATAATTTTAATAATTATTGGCCGCCTAAAATCACAGATATTATTAGTAATTTTTATTTTTTTTTTATTTTAAAAATCTCAGTAAGATTAAAAATAAGTGTGAACACAGCATTATATTTTTAAACACTGAAAAAATTATTTCTTACATTTTTACATATTTTTATATAATACCGTTGTATAAAATAATAAAAAAAAACACTATATACCTGTTATGTGTTTTGTAATTAGTCACAGACACACTTATATTTTTGTGCTCCATATAACACATACACATAAATGTGGGCGAACATCTAAGTAACATCTTGTAAACTCATTATATATTTATTAACATCAAATGAACCAACCAATTTAATTGAAAAATACACTAAAAAATAATAACAATTTCACACATTGAGCATCGATTTTCCAAAATAATCTAGCGCAAAATTTTCTTTTGTTCAATTTTTATAATTTTGGTTTTCTAATTAAAATATTTTTTTTAAAATTGAAATTCATTTTTCTAAATTTCATCTTCAATAAACCATTTCCTCGCTCTCTCTCTCTCTCTCTCACTCTGTATACATATTGGCTACACATTTTATAAATCTATTTTATTCTGTTTGTTGTTTGGTACCAAAAGTAAATTGTGTGCATTGCAAATATGTTTTCACGTACAAATTCTTAAATTGTTTTTTTTTTTTGTTTTTTTTTTTTTTTTTATAGAAAATTGCAACTGTTTCATATACATAATTTCTTTACTACTTTTACTATAAACTGTGAAATTGGAACCTGCAAGCCAAATAATATATTTATGTGTTTTGTTTTTGTAGTGCACAGTTGTATTGGAAAATGTGTGAAAACTCTTTTACAAATTTTATATGATTTGAAATAATTTTTATATAAAAATTACTTAAAGAAAAGTGTTATGAAAGTATATACTAGGAAAAATCATTGAAGTGTTTGGAATATGATAAGAAACACGGATATATGTTTTTTAAATAGGCACATTTTATAATTTTTTTTTTTTGTATCTCAAAATATATTTTTATATAACAATTTTTTTAACATTTTTGTTAAGCTGAGTTCACATTGTATTACATTAACAGAATCCTCCGCAACTTTCAGCATACAAGGGACTCTCTTATATGCCCAGTCAAAAACAATATACAATTTTGTATAACTAATAAAATTTTATTCAAACCTTTTTACTTAAATATAACATTTATATTTTTTGTTGTTATATATACATTTCTGTATGCATCTTATTAAACACCATAAAATCTGTCTGTATGTATGTGTAATCACAAATATAGGTACCAGCTATTTCCTTAGCCTATGAAGAAGCAGAATCTGATATTATGAAACGTCAGCCCAGGAATCCATTTTGTGATAAACTGGTTAACGAAAGGTAAAGCTATTTTAACGCGCTAGTTTCGACCAAAATAAAATGAAAAAAAAACTTAAGTTGTATAAGTTAGCAAACCAAAAGCATATTCAACAAAGAATTTATTATATTTTAAAGGTATTCATTTAAACTATGCTACCTGAATGCCTGAATGTCCAAATTGACCTATGGCCTGTCCGCAACCCGCAACAAAACCTAATAATATCCCAACTTCAAGCGCTCCCAATTACTCGACGAGTATTATTTCCACACATACTTGTTCCGCCTCCACCTCAAATTGAACTCTCACTCATCACTACTTTACTACTTACTTATTTAGTATTTATTGCCCAATTCTATTCCACGTCCACTTTGCCGAAACACTATCTTTTTTCTACTACTTTGGTTACATACAGTATAAATTTGCCTACTAAATTGCCTTTAACATTCAAGTGTATTATGCATACTTATTTAAAACAAAAATGAAAAATGCAAAAATGAACTGTCAGCTTTTAAAGTATCAATTACTCTCTTGTATTTAACTGAAATGCAATTTTTTATAACTTATTTGAAATAAAAACAAAAAACGAAATTAGTTTACAATTTTCACTTAAACACTGAGTACATGAGAAAATATGAAATAAAATCCGCAATGCAATTAAATTATGTTTATTTGAGCGAATACTTTAACGAAATTGCAAAACAATAACTATACCAGGGGTTCTCAAACATTTGCAATGAGCCCACTTTCGGCCCACTTCACCAAGCGAAAAGTATTGCAGAATATTTAGTAATTTGCATAAAAAATGTTTATCAAAAAAAAAAAAAGCAAAGTACGTCAATCACTTAACTCAACACTACAGTACCGTTAACTCTAATTACTGTTAGTTCTTTAGTACAACAAATTATGTACTTAAAAGTCTTAGTTAGTTGCATACAAATATATACATACATACATATATATGTTCATTATATAGTGCCGTTAGTTTTGTTTATTTTGTTGTGTTTACCTATCATTTCGTTCTGCTATATCGAAAACGCAGCGGAATTAAAAAAAAAAAACAATTAGTGTTGTGTTAGATATATTATGTTGCCATATCGGCCAAAAATTGGCATTCCAATATTCGGCTTTAACGCCTAATTATAGACCGTAAAATAATAACTAAAGAACTAATTATTTTTTTGCAGACAATTCGTTTAAATTATACAAATTTTTCCCCTGGTTTTGTATTTACGCTTAGACTAATTTGAAATTATTATATTTCCATTAATTTTCTTCACCGTAATATATTCTATTTTGAAATTAATATTTGCGTTTACTATTGCGCATGTTCGTCTACTATATTCAAGTATATAATAACTATATCGTAATAATCTTGAAAATCTCTATATTGAATAGCTAATTGCGAATCTTTTGAATGCCTTCAAGAAGTATTTTCACTCCTAACTCTGTTATTGCAGCTTTTTTCCTTGCAAAATACTTAAATTCTAAATATTGCTCTCAAATGAAACCTCTTTTTCTACTTACTATAACTCGATAAAGTTCTACAATAAATAATAAAAATATTTTCAATAGAGATAAATGTGTGCATTTTATTATACATATATACAGATATTTATTTTCAAAAATATTTTGTATGAATAATATCAAACAGAGTTATAACAACATACATTTAAAAAATCTCATAAATATCTTCAAAAATTTTACTTATTTTTTTATATTTCTCTGGCAATAAGTAACACTGAACTATTAATTTAGAAAAAATCGTGAGGTATTGAAATTTTTCTCCAAACCGTTGTCTATTTTATTTGAAGTATTTTTTCGAATAAGTTCAAACAATAGTATGTTCGAAATGTATTCGTATTATATATCAAAGCGATATATAAAATTTATTACCAACCTTTAACCTCTTGCGTATTGTAATCAGCAGCAATATTAAAAATATTTTACCAGCCGCATTTTAGCAAAATTTTATTAATACATCTATTAGTTTGTTTTTTTTATTTACAAATCTCTTG